GTGTGTGTGTGTGTGTGTGTGTGTGTGTGTGTGTGTGTGTGTGTGTGTGACAGCATTTTACTATCGGCTGGTGCTGCTGGTGAATTTTTCTGGATTTCTGTCCGAGCTGCTGGTAATGTCAGTTTCCCGCTGTGTGAATGAAAATGTGTGTGTATACGCATTTGAATGTGACATACACATGCATGCATTACACATATATGTTCGAGGAGGAGAGTGGTGTTGGTGAGCTTCTTTTCTGTCGGTTTGTGCATGTTCGTGTATGCGTGTCATCGTTAATTTCCGGACTGCCCTTCAGTGCTTTATCGATCGTCCCGCATTTGTTCCATTTTTGCATCCTTGGAAAGCTAATATTAGTGACACATGGGCTACCGGCATCATGATGTGACAAATATTACAAGCGCAGGATGTGCCATTTTGTGAAAACGTCGTGTGTGTGTATATCCACCTACACTGCCCAAGTGTATGTGGGCATACACGGGCATGTGTAGGTGGACAGACTTTTTTTGTTTTTCGCGTTCCGGTCATTCCTGTTTTTCGGGGTCATTCCTGTTCCTTTCGATCATTCCTGTTTCTTCTTGTCGCTATTTTACAGTCGGAACAAAAACGTAAAATGCAAAAAGAAATCAGCGTGCTGGCTGGGGAACGCAAAATATGAAAATGAAGACACGGACTCACGATTTTACTCCAGCCCCTAGTACACACTTCGATTTTCGGGTATCTATGCAGCCAGGTGTTCAGCACTCCTTGCACGCTCTTGCGCATACCTTGATCAATGTGGAATAGTATGGAATAATAGTTGGTGAGTGGAGGAAGCACACGAGCGGCAAAAGGATTGTAATAATTGCATTAGCACAGGCGGGGCCGGGGAAGGGGGCGATGAGTCTTCCACCCCTCCCAACGACACGGGCACCAGTGCTACAAAAGTCCGGGTCTAAAGCTAAAACTAAATAAAGCCTAAGGTAACTCTAAGTAGCAGTGTTACAACTCTGTTTAAAGTTTTTGCGTAGTTCCAAGGCGAAAGGGGACTCTCCTTCTCACCTCCCCTTCTCCCTCCCTCGCTCAGGAGCCCTACTGTCCCCCTCCCGCTCCCCCCTCTCCCGCCGTCGTCCTCCCCAGGAATGCGTCTTGGAACTGCCAATAGGCAGTAGTATTTTCCGTACAGAGAATGCAGACCAGTAAAGGTCAGTTGTGGAGCAACAGGCTGACCATTAGGTAATGCAGCGTGGCTATGGAAAAATTTCTAATTACATCGGTGACGTGAACGTGTTTGCTGAAATGAAACGAATTCCGATTAGCTGCTGTTTAGCCCTAAAAGGCGGAAGTTCTTTGGATTCCTCGTCTATGAAAATAGACAGATCGGACGCTTGCCATAGCTGTGACTTCATTAAGCATCATTACAGAGGTGAGTTCTGTGAGAATTAGATGCACGACATGTGAGGATACGTTATTTCTGCTTACTTCGCCATTCACCTTACTCAGAATTCACTGTAGAAAAAAACTTGGGTTTTTTCGACTAGTTGACTATTGACCCAATAACTGCTGGTACCGAAATTCACATTGGTAATCGGTGATTTCCGGGACCGTGCAGCTCGAGCTCGTCCGAACCCGTCGCTTCCGGTGCGTCAGCCCACTGTTTTTGGAGTGGTACTGCACTGCGCGCACGTGACTACGTCCCGGCGCTCCCAAGAACGGAAGGTACGCTATACTGCTTGCATGTGTAATAGAACGTTGGCGTTGTTGAATTCCAGTGAGACAGAGGTGGATAATATCGTTTGAGGTCAATTAAACGAGCATGCCTTCCCTTATCTCAACAGCTGTTCATCCCTCAGCCCCACCTGGTGCCGCCCCAGCCTTCTGTTTGCCGGAGAAGGATCAACACTTCCAGTGACCCCTTCCTTATCTTTGATTAGTCCCCCACTCCACCCTTGGCCTTCATAATTTCGTATTGCTTTGATTGTTCGGCGTCCTGCATTCGCTTAAACGCTTTGTTATTAAAATCAGCTTTTAATCAGCATAATAATCATCGTTAGTGGAGGACTGGGAAGTGTTTGTATGTCTGCGTCTGTCTGTGAGTGCAGTGTTCTTCCGGATTGGTAGCTGTATGGGATGAGTGAGATGAGGGATTTTAGTTCCATTTCTGCTTGAGTGACATTGACGAGCCTGGAGCTGCTTTGTAAAAATTGATTTGAATAATGGCCCAACTTGGGCTTGATCTGCTTCCCGATTGCAAAGTACCGGTTCAGCTCTGCTCTTTTTACTTGAACCTTTCAAGGAAGCACATAGCTAACACCATAGGTATCAACAATAACGTTCGGGCTCTCTGTTTAGTGCTATACTGAGTTGGTTTATGGGCCGAATGCACTGTGCTCATGGCTTCTGTGGTCATCGCAGTGGACACTGCACACGTGTTCTGGCTTGCCAGTCTGCCCACGCTTTTCTGTATAAAACTGTGAATAACGCATATTTTTTCTTTTTTTTTTCAGATTTGTATAAGTTTTTTATTATTTCACATGTGCTGCTGGCTGTCCATGGATTTTCACATTCCAAAAATTTTATTAGCCGATTCGTACTGTATTTGCGACATTATGTAATCGTTTTGCTCCAGAACTAATTCAATTCTGCCTTCAATCCATTAGTATTGCTAGCAGCAGTACCAACAATGGACCGGTGCTGCACTGGATGAGCTCTGTTGAGCTCTTTATATTATTTTTGTTATTGGTAGCAGTACTACTACTACTACTACTGTCGCTACGAATTGTTGCAAAACGATAATCCTGGACGAGCTTTAATTTATGGATCGAGCTGCTCGATATTCCCACTCATATATTTGTAGTCGGTGTTTAACACTAACATTTATTACTGCCAGCTAACGAGAGATTTTGGCTCCACGGTATTAGTTGTATAGATTTTCTCTGTAAAAATGCATTTTTGATGTTCCAAAATGGCCCTCCCTGCTTCCAGCTCCTGAAAACCGAAACAGCGATCGAATAAACACCGGGAAAGTCATTTTTTTTGCGTTTTTTTTAGACAGTGGGAGCAAAAAAAAAAACCGAAAAATTTGTTTAAAACATATATTTAGTGGTGCAAGATGGAGAGCGTGACGTGAAGTAGATTGCTACTGTTGCAGACACAAATTCAACGGAGGACAGTATGAGCTGGAACGGGACGATGATGTGCGATGTAATGCCAACCATCTCTGAGGATGGCGTCGATCCTCAACCAGTGAGTTCCAATGTTTCATACTTTTTCCCTTGCGAATTTCCGCCACATCACATTATCCTATAGCCGAAATTCTCATGCGTAATGTCTAATAAAGCAGCCAAATCACCTTACACAATTCTCGGAAATACGAATCACTGCCCTGCCAGGCCTATTCACTGTCTGTCCTCATTGTATCTTTATTTCCTGCGAAATTTTCATTTAATTCATTTGTCTTTTGCTTATGAAAAGAAAAAATTGGCCTTGTGCAGCTGTTAAAGCGATTCGTTTTCAAGTGATCTGCGAGAACCACATGTTACATGACTTCGCACGCATAATTTTAACTTCATTTTGGTCCACTTTCTCCATCGTTACAGTAATTCATCAGCGCTCTGATTAGTATATTCGTGCTATGTAGAAATACGCAGCTAATCTGTGGATCAGATTTGTCGGAGTCAAATTGTGGCTTTTGGAAGTAGGCTGAAGGGCTTGAAAAAGAAGCCTGTAGATTGCTGCTAGCGAAGCTGCAGAAGAAGATTTATCTTGCGGATGGAACAGAAATCAAAAAATTTCGATGGTTTTTTTTGCACGCTCTGAGACGTTTTCTTATATTTGTTACGGGTGCTGCATTTCCTATCGATGGCATCTGGCAGCTGGGGCAGGTTCGTGGACTTTCAACGCGGTTTTTGCAGGGTACGGGTTCAGAATCCGGCGAATTGGCTGCTGCTAGCGGCGATCAAAATCGCATTGAGCAGCTGATGGTTAATATGCTCGATGAACGCGACAAATTGCTCGAGCAGTTGCAGGTACGTGTCTTTCCCTTGAACTTATACTTCAGGCATAGACTTCTTTCGAGTTAATTTCTTTACTACGTCGCTTCTTCCACATTTCTTACTGTTCTCAAGCACGCAGCATTTTCTCCTGTCTGGACTGCATATAATTCCCCCAACGCTTGTCTACCATATCTCATACTGCCACTCTTTTAATGCGTTTTTTGCATCTATGCAGTGCAGAAAACGCATATTGACGAAGGGTATGTGTGGTACCCTCCACGTACAGACTCGCCAAAATCTTTTTCGGGGAAGCTGCTAATTCGGAAACCAGGAAAGTTAGAAAAATGAAATTTTAAAGGGATGTTTTCAGACAGCCTTGGTGACCAGTCTCAGTCCTCTTAGTTGGAAGCATTTGCAGGAAAAAGCGGTGCCGTTAGTGACAAAAACCTGCGGGGAATATGCAAAAATGCATCTTCGCACCGGCAGTTGGTGCGCTGGCCATTTACTACAGGTTGCAGTTGACTTGTGCTGTTTCAGGATGCTCAGCAGCGTATCGACGACTTGCTTCGAGACGTGAAAAATGCTGAACGCGACAGGGAGAGCATGCGCAGGCAGTTTGACGTACAAACACAACATCTCCCAGGGGTTAATTTTGTCACCACTTTTGGATTGCATGTGTTCGGTATATATGTTATGCTCAGAAGACTTGTCGTTGAAGTCTTCTGAGCATAAAACATATTTCGAACGCAGAAGACTTGTCGGTAGGAGGTCTTGACTGCCTAAAATTAATTTTTTCCCGAAACATTTCATTTCACAAAGCCCCTTCCGTGTGGAGGAGGATTAATTTTATTTCTTTGTTAGTTTTAACTTCCCTGTATTAATTTTTTTCACTACAAAACTACGTTGCTTAGACATCCCAAAAATGTTTTACTGAAAAGAATTCGAGACCGCAACTTTCGCACTGACGTGGTTCAGTAGTGATGCTCAGTAGGAATGTAGACGACTTTAAGGACCAAGACATTACTGTTTAGCGATTTAATTTTAATTTGACGTTATTTTCTCAAGGTTTAATAAGATATGCCCTTAAATCGTTTAAAAATTTCTTCATTAATTGCTTGTATTTTGTATTTTCTTCAGGAGTTGCAATCGCTGACCAAAGAATTAGCCCAGTTGCGTGAGCAGTTACTGGAGAAAGATGAAGAAATTGTGGAACTAAAAGCGGAACGCAACAATACACGATTGCTTCTCGAGCATTTGGAATGCTTGGTGAGCACTTTTGCATTTTTTTCCCCCGTTCATACGGAGTAATGAAAGTAAAAACCCAGCGCTGAAGCTGGTAATTTTTCGGTGGCGTACTGCTTGTATTAGAGATGACTGAACTGAGATAGCATGAATATGATGCGTTTGCAGGTGTCGCGGCACGAGCGTGCATTGCGGATGACGGTGATGAAGCGACAGGCCCAAAGCCCAGCAGCTGGAGTGAGCAGTGAGGTTGAGGTTTTGAAAGCGCTGAAATCACTCTTCGAACATCATAAAGCGCTTGATGAAAAAGTAAATTTTGCCACTGTTTTTGATGAGCCCTCTTCAGAAGAGTACAGTGAAATTTGTGTACTGGTCCATATTTATTGCTTGGTGATCTGAGTACCTTTTTTTAAGGTCCGAGAACGTTTGCGTGTTGCAATGGAACGTGTTGCAACATTAGAAGATGAGCTTGCGGCAAAAGGCGACGAAAACTCGTCCCTCAAAGCGAAGCTGGCGAAGGTTACGGCCGAGGCTGAGGAAGCGCACCAGCAGGTTTGTGGTTTCTGTTCCACTGCTTGTTGCTCTCGGATGGCGAACTTCTGGCCGTCGAATTCGTTTGCAGTGCCTAACCGTAGTTGATGCTTGCTGGCGATGCTTCCAATCATTTTTTTATTATACGTGTCACGAGGTAGGCTCTTATTTGAACATAAATTTCCTCTTTTTTTTGTGCTTATTAGTGATGTTATTGCAGCTGAGTGCTTCGCAAAATGGTTTGGCGACCGGCGTCGAAAAGCAGCAGCAAGGACAACAGCAAATTGTTAGTATTTAGCAATATTCCGCCTCTGGTAGCTGTCACCGAGCATAGCGAATGCCTTCAAGTGCTCCATGGTGAAAACAAACTGTAAGGGTGGCATTGCATAGGGCAATATACCGAATTTGATAGCATCGCGTCGCATTTGCAGAATGCCGGCGTAGTAGCGTTTCCGTCACGTTCCAAGGAGGTCGATGTGCGTTGCTGCCGCCTCCTAACTTTCCCCGTGAAGCTGCCGCTCGGAGAAATAGTCTTTTTAAGCGCCGACAACTTCTAATTGTAATGCTAGGCACAGGAGCAGAAGTCTTCAGCTCGCTGTCCGGGCATTTCCCATCCTTAGCTAGTAAAAATGAATGCATATATTTATTTATTCATCCGTCTTTTTTGAAGATTTTGCACCAGTTATAAAAGTGAAAGCATTATATTTGGGGGACGGGAAGGGGAGGGGGGCAGGAAGACGGGACTTTTTGTTACGTTTGCATGATGGTTCTGCAAAATACCCCAGTCCTGTCTTTTTTTTTACTGTGTTTTTCGAGTCACATTTTCATGTGTCTCGTTTAAAAAAGGATTTGAGCGTAGCTGGTGCTGGTCTCTTACAGTACGGGAAATGACCTGATCAGTGCGTAACAAAAAAAAGTGTGGAAAATTTCTGGAGTGCGATGTCGGAGGATGCATAAAATGAATAACTGTTGTAGGGGCCAGCTGAGTCAGCCGGGGCATTGGTGGAATTGCAGGAAGCATGCCAGCGGCTTAAACAGGATCTAGCAAGTAGCATGCAGCAGTGCCAGGAGCTCAGTAATCGGTAACGTTTTTTGCTGATTTACAGTGCATCGATTCGATTTAATATAGCTCCGTGATGTAATGTAACTGGAAAGAACAGCACCGAATGATTGTTGATGACGTAGAATTTTGGATGGTTCAGTTTCATCTGTTGAAAACTTCGCGACTGTGCGTGCGGTCAGCTTTTGTGATGTGAAAGTCGCTAAGCGAGTTATGTTGCAGAAATACTGAATTGGAGGGGCAGCTCACTGCAGCGCAAAAAGAAGGTCGCATGGAGCAGGAGCAGGCTAACAAATTACAGCACCTTCTGCAAGAGGTTTTTTTCACAGCTCCTGACACACTTTTTGTGTGTGAATGGGGGAAGCGCATGCACCATGTCAAGGGTGGTTTGGGAAAAAATACCAAAAAATTTGGGCAACGTTTTGTTCTAAAAATTGTCAGATTTCGTGCAGTGTTTTTGAGGAAAAAGTACATTTTGTATACATCTAGCGATTGCAGCTGCAAGCTCAGCGTGATGATCAGGAAGCACGGATTTCCACACTCGAAAGCCGGTACATGAGTGCACAGCGGGAAGCAACATGCTTGCGCGATCTGAACGATAAGCTGGAGCATCAGGTTAGCATATATTCAATTTATCATAAGCCCTTTTAAGCAGTTTAGTCTCAGTCATGAATTCACCATCTTCCAGCGCTTTTTGCCGAGGACAAAATTCTCACGGGCTGTTAGCTTCCCGGGTGAAAATGCAGTGGTTTTGTGTGGATTTCGATATACTAATTGAGGCAGTTCAGAAGCGTTGGCACTTGAATTATTAAAAAAATCAGCAGTTGTTTTTTTGGGGGTTATTTTCGGGCCACTTGTATTTTCCCCCGAATCTCTTTGTTAATATCAGTGATATTTTCAAGTGGGGTGATGCGTATGAATGCGGCTGTGACCGGCGTCCAGTCATTTGTACAAATTGTTGCTTCGCTCATTTTCTCAACTGATTTGGATGGTTTGTTCCCAGACTGAGAGGAATGGTAGTGCTTCGTTACATCCTTTTTTTTTTAGCTTGCAAACAAAGATGCAGCAGTTCGGCTGAATGAAGAAAAAGTGCGCAGTTTGCAAGAACGTCTTGAATTGGCCGAGAAGCAGTTAGCACAAAGTCTAAAGAAAGCGGAATCGCTGCCAAGTGTGGAAGCTGAATTGCAGCAACGCATGGAAGCGCTCACTGCTGCTGAACAGGTTGTTCATCATTGTTAGAATCCACTTTAGTGGTTCGTAAAAATAAGCTTTATGCTACAAATTTTTCAGATGGCTATCAGGTCTCAGGCTGACTAGCTGATTCCACACAATATGTAAATTGGGGGCAGTGCAGCATTTTAGCTATGATCTTCGAAAAATAGTTTTCTTTGAAACAACTATTCTAGAAGATGGAGGTGCGAACGGCTTGTAAACTGTTATTGTGGAGTAGATTTTATCAAAGATTATCAGTTTAGGCGTTATTTGCATAGAATAGTTCATCCACTTGAGAAAAAAAATTCAACAAAAATTCGTTTTGTTGGCGTTGAAAGGCAAATTTTTTGGGGACTCGTTTCAACGTCCTCCTTGTATTCCTGCTTTATTACTGAGGTGCTTTTCTTATGCAAGTTTTCATTGCTTAGAAGCAGAAAGTTGAAAAGTCGAGCGTATTCGTTTCACCTTTAAAGAAATGATTCTTTTGCAGAAACAACTGAGTGCCGAGGAGCAAATGAATCGGCTAGCGCGACAGGTAGAAGAACGCAGTGCGGAACTGGAAAGGGCGGTGCAAAGGGAAAAAATGAATGAGGAGCATAACCAGCGGCTGTCATCTACGGTTGATAAGCTGCTTAGTGAATCTAACGACAGGTGGGCTTCTTATCCACGAAAGCTGGCTAGCTTCTTAAGCTTAAAAACCGAAAAAGCCCATGCAGTTGCAAATCTCGAATTTTATTTATGAGAAATTAGTTTTTTTTTTTTTGATCAGCAGGTCTTGCTTTTTTACATTTTCTTTTGTCTTATTTTCTGTTTTTTTTTCTCAAATGACGGTATGTTTCTCAGTCACCGCACTTTTGTTGCATTGAACCATGTAAGGGCAAATATGACTGATTTTGCTGAGCATATTGACATATATCGTACTATTGCTTCAAATAATTTTGAGTTAGTGTGGTGTTCAAGTCCGGTCGTTTTTCGGGTGAACGGCGCTTCATCGGGAAATGTAAATTTGAGAACGCATAGGATGCCAAAAGAGAAAAATTGCAAAATTTACAAAGTACACTCGCTGTTGAGTTTGAGATAAAGCCTGTACTGCCGAAGGTGATCCGGAAATTGCAGGTTACAATTGCACTTGAAAGAACGCATGCAAGCGCTTGATGAGAAGAATCGTTTGACACAGCAGCTTGAACAGACAAAGAAAATCTACGATCAGGTACTGTTCATTCTTTAACAACGCGCATCAACGTGTATCGCTACTGATACTGTTGTAGTGTGAACGAACGAAGGAACGCTTGCAACGTGATAACGAAGGTCTGAGGCAAGAAATTGATTCACTCAGAAATCAACTTTATAACTTCCGAACAGCGCAATATCACTCCAGGTGAGTAAGTGCATACCCCCCACATTTTTATTTTCTCAAATCCAGTCCAAGTATCTTTTCATTCTTACTTTGCTCGTTCTCTTTTGATTACCACATACTTTACTGGCGGATATTTCATAAGGCAGTGCATGATTTGTCAAATCGGAGACCACTTAATGTTAATTTGAATCAGCTTCAGTGATAATACATTGATTTTCTCCGTTCACACTGCAGTTTGGACGTATAAAACAAAAAAAACAATGGGTAAAGTTACTGAGTTACAGGTTGCACAGTACGCCAATGATGTTGCCGGTGGCACCAGCGCCAGTACCTGTACAACCACCGCCTGGACCGGGAGGACCACCTCCACCGCCCGTCGTGGTAATATCCGTTTGGCCGCTTGGCTGCATTATTATTACTTTTAAAATGATTATGATGAGGTTCAACTTGTTCTGTGGACAGCAGTAGATGCTAAAACTGTCTAGTGCTGATCTGCTTTGCAGACTGTGGCACCTCCTACGGCTGCAGCAGTGTATGGTGGATTACGCCGCACACAGAAAGGACGCCTGCAGGCGCTGCAAGAAGATCCAGGCAAAGTGCAGACGCTGAATGAGCAAGAATGGGATCGGTTGCAGCAGGCGCATGTATTGGCTAATGTGCAGCAGGTAAATAATTTTTTTAATCCGCCGCAGTTTCCCATACCAAAAGAGTCGTCGAGGATGAGGTTTGTTCTGGATGTAAAAGCTTTTTTCATCCTGATAAGAAATAGTAAGGAAAATGGCTTAAGTTATTCCCATCATTTGCTTTTATAAACACAGATTTGTTGACTTTTCGGAATGTGAGTACTGAAGCCTTTCGGAATCTCGAATAGAGTACCTTAATTTGTAGGCTTTTTCATCTTCGTCATCGATGATGGATATGACTGGTGGTGTTGGCGGCACAGCAGCAGCCGGTCCTCCAGGGCCTACTGCGCCTGCAATTTCGGGGTCGGCAGATCCACATGCTCTGGCCAGTATGTTACAGGAAAGGTTGGTAAATGCACAAGGATGTAATACAGTTGCTGCTTTCCATAGTGGCCGCAGGGTTTTAAGTGAGTTCGACGATTTAGGTCCGTGCGGTCAGCTGATTATAATATTTACAAATTCATAAAATTTTATTAACTTCTGCATGCAACTGAATATTTAGGAGCAGAATTTTTAGCCCCGTACTATTTACTTACTGATATTTTTGACTTGCTACTGAATGTCTCTGAAAAGTGAATAAAAAGCTGCTGAGGAAGTAAAGCTTTTGTGCATGCTTACCTGTTGTGTAACGATTCAAATTAACCCCGTG